GTCATTCTCTTTCATCAATTAAATCCATGCAGTCTCCAGCCTGTCTGCAGGTGTTCAGGCTGAGATTATATAGAGAACGTAAATAAAACTTCTCAAAGAGAAAGTTTATCAAAAATGCTATATTTCCATTTATGATTAGTATCATGACAATCCTAGACAGCTAATTAAAAAGCAGAGACATCACTTTGTCAACAACGGTCCATATGGTCAAAGCCATGTATGGATGTGAGAGTTGGACCATAAAGAAGGCTGAGTGCCAAAGAATTAATTCTTTTGAACTGTGGAGCTGGAAAAGACTCTTGAGAATCCTTTGGACTGCAAGGAGATCAAACCAGTCAATCTTAAAGGAAATCAACCCTGAATAGTCATTGGAAGAACTGATGCTGAAGCTTAAGTTCCAATACTTTGGCCACCTGATGGGAAGATCAACTCACTGGAAAATACCTGATGCTGGAAAAGATCAAGAACAGGAGAAGAACTGGGTGATCAAGTATTAGATAGTTGGAAGGCATCATCGACTCAATGGACATGAGTTTGAGCAAATTCTGGGAGATAGTGAAGGACAGGGACACCTGGCGTGCTGCAGTCCATAGGATTGCAAAGAGTCAGACACAACTGAGTGACTGAAGAACACTCTTATATATGAGAAGAGAGAATCAGAGAAGGATAAAGTTCACACAGCTGATGAAGGCTGGGGCAGGATTCAAAGCCAGGTCTACCTGACCCCAAATGAGTTCCCAGATTTTGAGGACATACATTGGTTGTCAGTAGGGTTGGTATACCCTATAGATGCCTGCAGGGTAGGTGGGGGGCCTTCAGCAGTGAGCCCCCTTGAAATCTCAAACATCCCATCTTTCTCTTAACAATAATTACAAGCCAACCAATCTTTAGGACACAAACTCTCACTCATCTGCTACACTCTAATAAAGTTTCACTGGTATGATAGTTAACAGTCCACCAGGATACAATTTTAGTAACCTGGCTAACAGGACACATCTATTTAATTGAACAAACTTTAGTCCTTTAAAAGTTGCTCAAACGACTGCAGAAAATTCTGAAAGATTTATCCAAACAGGTCTGAAAGCCACAAGAAAACAATGTAATTCAGCAGTTGCTCACAGTAGGAGTTTCGCTAAAATAACTCACAACGGGATACACTAGAATGCCTTTCCCATTCCCACAGTTGGTAAAGGACAACCAGCATTTGAGGACTGAAATATTTTCAAATTGCTCTATAAAATTAGACATATTTCTTCAATCTTTCTCACTCTGACTCTTGCTTTCTTTCTCCCTCTCTCTCTCCTCTAAATTTGAGGCTGTTTCTTGTCCTTCAAATCTATTGTTCAGTTAATTTGTGCATGCTGGAATATTCTAATTTAAATCTGAGTCTGGGACATTCTATATTTTGTTTCTAGCTGCAAGAGTGTGAATGCCATAAATAACATGTACTGTGCTGTTCTCTGTTCCTAAACAGTCTGATAAGCTCATACTGAAACGATTTCAGCAGTCACATTTGACAGCTCACTAGGATCCTGTTCAATCCAGCCTCCCAACCAGTCCTTTACTTTTGCCAGTTTTCAGGAGGAGGAGGCATTCAAACACCCACCTCTAAATGAGAAGAGTTCTGGTGGAACCCTCCCAGGAGAGGGGTACCCCAGCTAACAGGCCGTCAATCTGTCAGTATCTCTTAAGATTCCTTAGCTCTGTCCAACTGAATGTCTGGTTCAGAGCTGAGAGAAAGGGGAACCCAGTGGGTGGGGGTCCTGTCAATTTCACTTCCCAGGATCCAACTGCAAACTTGTGTCAGACCAAAGCAGCACAAACCGGATCCACTAGAGGAGCAACACAGCACGTTCTTTCTCCTAATTAACTCATTCATCCATTAAGTAAATAGTAATTGAATACTTACTAGATCACAAAGACACCATGTACTGCTATAGAGAACTCTGCAACTGGACACCTCTAGGGCCAATTCTCGACGCCATTACACATAGCAATATGAGCCTCCCTAAGTTTCTTAATGGAGGGGTCTCGAAGAGTCGGAGACAACTGAGCGACTTCACTTTCACTTTTCACTTTCATGCACTGGAGAAGGAAACCCACTCCATTGTTCTTGCCTGGAGAATCCCAGGGATGGTGGAGCCTGGCGGGCTGCCGTCTATGCGGTCGCACAGAGTTGGACACAATTGAAGCGATTTAGCAGCAGCAGCAGCAGCAAATTTCTTAAATTTTCAAGGCCTCGGTTTCTCCATCTTACAGATGGAGATAACAGGGTTGCTATGAAGATCAAATGAGATAATGCATTATGTAATGTAATGTATGACTCCAAAACATCAATTTCCTTCCTGTCTTCTCCCTTTATTCAGCCATGTAAAGAATTGAAGTGCTGATACATGCTAGGTGTGGGTGAACCACAAAACCATGTTAAGCGAAAGAGGCCAGACACCAAAGATCACTTGATCCCATTTATATTAAATGCCCAGAATATGTTAATGTACTGCACACTGAATGGTTGATTATATGTTATGTGAATTTCATTTTGGTCCCCAGTAGTCTAATCACCAAGAACCAACTTTTATTGAAATCTACCAAAATTATAAAATGCAAATGCATATCATCTTATTTTCCTCAGAGAATAAAAACATTAATAGTAAATAATAAAAATTTTGCATTACCTTTTATAACTGTAAAAAAAATCTCCCTTTTAAGAGAATTTGCTACTGCTACATATATTCAAGGATAGCAGAAGAGCACATAAAAGAAAAGTATAGAGCTATACACTGTATAGCAGCATAACTAATATACACATTTCTAATGTGCATCAAGAAAAATAAATGCATCCAAAATACCAAATGATGACAGGATGAAGATCTCACTTCTTCAGGGTCATAAGGCATTGTCCAGTTAGACCCACCTTAACATTTGTAGAATAGGGGCAAGAGTACAAATGGAGGCCCATAGGTCATCTGCTGTGAAGTGTCTACTCACCCTATCCACTTCAAGATAGGCAACTCCTGTTCACAAGACCCCTAGCTCCTCCTGGCATTCTCCTTTTAAGTTCCTCAAAGAACCTGAGGCTGGAAGCCAGGTTGAATGTAGAATTCTTCAACTTCTCAGAGTCCTGCAGTAGAACAGAGCTGTGCCAGAGAGCCCCGCAGACCCTGACTTTCCCCCCTTCTCACCTCAGTTCTATCCTATACCACAAGGGGTATCATCCACAGTATTGGTCCTCAGCCACCTCTCAGACCTGGGGTTCACCCACTTCAGGTGATAGAACCTGAGAAGGAGGTCAGAGAAGACCCTAGAAGAAGCTGTGAGGCCATTTGGGCAGAGAATTCTAGGACTCCAAATACCTACAGCAAGGTCTAGAAGAAGGGGGCACAGGCTGTGGGTGGGCACATCTCCTTGGATCTGTGGGTTCCTTATCTTCCAGGGAAGGGAGAAGATAAAGAAGGGCCAGAGCGGGGTCCTTCAGAGCTATGCTCCTCAAAAGTGTGCTCCATCAAAACAAGAGTGGATACCATCCGGGAACCTACTAGAAATACAGAATTCTAGGCTCCGCTTGGATCCACTCAATCAAAGTCTCTAAGCGAGTCTCTATGCACACTGAAGTTCAAGTGTGGGACTAGGATAGGGCCTCTTTTGTCCAAATCAAAGGGTGACATTTTGCCTGGCAATTGTCAGCGCTTTAATATACCACTTAGCCAACTTCAAAAGAGAAGTTCAGCTATTCCAGATGAAATGACATTCCATTCATGTGCATGACAACACAGGGACTTAATTCTCCAATAACTCAGGCAAAAGATTAGAGAAAAGTGGAATGATATGGGTCCTATCTATACTTCTGGGTTGAGTCATGGAGTTTTTAAAAATTGTAACAGATTTCCAGAAACTTTATTAATTGTCAGGGCATAATATCATCAGAATATAAGTTAGACACCAAAGAAAATCTGGCTCTATAATTAAAAGTAGGATTCCACAATCTAATTATTATATTTTCAACTAAAGCTAGAGCTCCTCGTACATTTTCCCACTGTTTCTTGAATTTTCAGAGATCTGTGAGCATGTTCACAGCAGAAGCTCAGTCCACACCTGGTAATTAGGAATGTTAAAACAATTCACTGACCCTTTTTTTTTTTATAGCCAGCAACTTTTTTTAATGTTACATATACTATTCTCAAGGCACATCTGATGATATATAACACAGTAGGTGTCAAAGTATGTTTAACATATGATTTCTTCAGGATCCCTCCCCTTTCTGAATTCCAAATGGAGGAACTGAAAGTGCGATGGAAAGACTGGCGATCCATATTCTATCTTTGACAAGCTTGTACAAGCACTATTGTAAAATGTAATGTAAAAGAACTGTAAACTAGGAACTTCTTCAGTTTATGAAACACCATTCAGGACTGCTGCGTTTTGAGTATTTTCTTCTTTTAAGGTATTAATCTTTTCTTCTCCTGGAGTACGCTGTAGCTTAGAAATTTCATCGCCAGAAGCACTAGTTGGGCCATTTATTGCCTTTTCTGAAGGACCATGCTCTTCAATCACATCTTTTGCCTAGCCCATTTTCATTAACTGAAGCTGTATCGGATTCAGTCATCCCATCCATCAGAACAGCATCTTCATCAGTCCTTCATCTACGAGACCGCCTACGACGGTTGGTACTGTGATGAGATTCGCTGGCATCAGTGTCTGCAGTCTGATCTGATTGTGTATTATCAAGTAAGCTGTGTGGATTGCTGTCTGGATCTCTGAGCACAGAACTGATGGAAGATTTGCCACCACGTGGTCCACCACGACCTCGACCCCCTGAAACACTTCTGCCTCTTCCTCCTGGGCGGCTCCTGCTGTCACGCTGATGGCGACTCTCTTGGTCCTCTTCTCCCGCCAGTGACCACTCACTCAGCTCATCTTTACGCTCAGATTCAGTTTCAGATGGGTTAGACAGCTCAGAGTTTGTACCATAACCAGAGGTGTAATTAGGGCCCCAACGACCTCTGCCTCTTCCACTATAAGACCTAGAACCTTGTACAGAAGAGACAGCACTTTCATCAGTGGCATATCCTTTCTCTTTTTCAGGCCCTCTGGTGGAAGAAGGTCTGAAACCCATACCAATCTGTCGAAGCTGTTCATCAATCTGTAGTCGTTCCATTCTTAGCTGTTCTACTTCCTATAATGAAAATGAGAAAGGATAAATCTTATACGTATTTCTTTAAAGCCTAGAGTTGAGCTATACTCTGGTCCTACCACTGAAAGCAGCTGTGATCTTGGGCAGTTATTTGGCAATGTAGACTGCATTCCTAGTGAACATAATTTACAAGGTCAATTCACCAAGCATTTACTAAATGCCTTAGCATCATGTGCCAACCATGCTAAGTGCTACAGGTATACAATATAGAAAAGACAAGGACTCTTCTCCTTCAGGGGGATGTTTACAGATGATCATTAGAATAACCTAGGGGATGGTTAACAGACAACTGCTGAAATAACCTACTTTAATAGCTAATTATCAGACCTAGTCTTCAAGGAGTATCAAACTCTGCTAAATGAGGTAAAGTACCACCTATGACAGGTATTACTAATAAACTACTTTCCTATCAAAATAGTGACAACTGAGTTGTGGCCTAGCTGAACTGGTAGACTTGGTCATTCAGAGATTGAAGTCATTACAGGACGTGAAGGTAAGGTGTCTAGAGAAAGCTCTTGGCTAAAAAACAGTAGAGTACTGGAAAGACAAGTTTTTCAAAAAAAGGAATGACTTAATCAAGGGTGCTTTGAAAATATTAACAAAACAATGACCTCAGTGACTAAAAGGAAAACACAACTAGAGACAGCAGTCTAAGTAACCATAAACAACAAAAACACAGCAGGAATAAAGAGAATAGAAAATGACAATTCCAACTTATAATAATTTTAGGGTATTTCTTTTCCAAAACCTTTTCTCTTTATTAACCCAGATAGNGGAGGGGCGTGAAGGAGGCGGGGGAGGGGCGGGGAAAACAGGGCGGGACTAGGATCCCCCGCCCCACACCGCTGGGGTCTCACCATGCCGCCCCAGCTCTTCACTGACCCTTTAGAGACTCTTCCCTAGTGTCGGCTGCCCTCAGGGATTCACAGAAGGCCACATCACAATTTCTACCACTTGCCACTTTTGCTGCTGCTTTTGCAGACTGTCATATTTACAAGTCTTCAAGAAGTAGTTTGGTGAGCCAAGTGACACTGAAATCCTGGCTCTCCCTTTTTCTATTGTCTGCCTTTCAGTCCTTAGGGCCACTTTAACTTCACCCAGAGTACTTCTAGGTTGAAGATTTTAGCACTGCAAACCCTTAATTCCTGGGGTGCAGGATCTTGCCTTCAGAACCTGAATGTCCCTTGGTATCCTAGAGTGTCTCTCCTCTTCACCAAGTGGTGAATAGGATCAAACACAAATGTGGAGGATTCTCATCTAGTAGCAGTGAGACCATGCTGCTATGAGTACTATTATTGCTAGGTGAGCCGGGACACTGGGGCTCTGATTATGTTTTGAGAAATATATGTTTCCAGTAGAACTGAAGATGAGACAACAGAGCAGAAATCCAAAGAGGAGGAGCAAGACCAGTCTGAAAGTACTAGGAGTAGAAATAATCCCAGTAAGATTGCTTATGACGGCTGCACAGTGGGCTCTTTTCCAAATGTGCACATTCTCCCTCAACCTTCACCTCCCTATTTATGGTAGATGTTATCCCCATTTTACAAATGGCAAGATGAAGGCTTGGATTGTTTATGGAAAATCACGTAGTTAGTGAGCCATGATTCTAAATCAGGGTTAGCCAACCAAACTCAAAGTTCTGGACCACTGTGTCATACTCTAAAGAAACCAGAAAAGACTCCAGATGATTCAGTCAGATCTCTGCATGTTGAATTACTTCAGTATAACCCAAACCTACCTTCTAACTTTCTCCTGTTGCACTTCCTATCTGTTTCCTAGTGAGCCTCCACATTTAGCCAAATCTTTTAAATTTTAGCTCACATAGATTCTCCATTTTCTACTTTCATTTCCATTGTCACTGGCCTAGTTGGGGCCTGGTCACTTCTCTTTTTTATTACTGCAACAGTGCTCTAACTGATTTTCCTCCATTCAATCCCTCACTTCTGTGATACAACCTGATGCCAGAATGAATGTCCCCAAGCAAAATCAGGACACAGCCCTTCCATGGAAATCATCCAACTTCTTAAAAGGCACAGTCTCATATTAACCTCCCTTCCTGTCTTGCCTTCCACACCAGTCTTCTTATACTTGACCCAAATGATTGCCTCCCCCAAACGCAAGACCATAACCTCAATCATGGATCATTTCATTCCCCAGGGCTGGGATGCCCATAGTTTCATTCTCTTCAATCAAAATCAACTCCTTCCTTCAAAGCTCAATCAGGAATCTCCTATCAAGACAGGTCTTCCTTTCCTAGGCATTCCCACATGGTCTTGCCTTTGAGATGCTTTTCTTTTATGACATAGGTTTCAGCTTGCCTGACTCATGTGCTACACTGAAAGATTCAAGGTCATCTTTATAAACAAAGTACCTACAATGATTTTCACAGGGAATTACCATCTGAAATGAACCTCAAGTGAGAATTTTCTTTTAAAGGTTTTTAAACCTTTAAATTTGTCAGTAAGGATTCTGAAATTCATCGCATTTCAGATTTTGTTTTTGTTCTTTTTTTTTTTTCTGGCTAAAAAGGTAGATGTCAAATCTCTATCATCAGCTCTTGCCCTATTCTAATTTCTGTCTTCTCTAATTTTATTCTCTACTTTCTACCTATATTTTACTATTTTATGTTTCCTTTAATTTACATCATTTTCTATGGAACAAGATGGCATATAAATAAATAGTTGTATAAATAAAGACTAGATTGTTTAGTAATGACTGCCAACTTGAATTGAAAGTAAGATCCTATTGGGGGGAAAAGTGGAGAACTCAGCCTAAGTTTGTTACAGTTTCTGTCCATAGTCGAAATGGAAGGATACAGGACTAAAACAAGAAAGCAATGTGCTCTCTCAGACTCAAAGGGTGCTACAGTGAAAAATAGGGGTGGGTGGGGGCTTTAGTGAAGGTGAAAGTGTAAGTCGCTCAGTTGTGTCCGACTCTGCCAATTCTCTAGGCTAGAATACTGGAGTGGGTAGCCTTTCCCTTCTCCAGGGGATCTTCCCAACCCTGGGATCAAACCCAGGTCTCCCGCATTGTAGGCGGATTCTTTATCAGATGAGCCACAAGGGGGCTTTAGTACTCTGAAGCTATAGCCTTAAGCACTGAAGTCCAGATATTAAACAAATATCCAACAGAGAATTATCTAAGAATATTTTATTTACCTTTGAATTCCCAAATCCAGTCCCAACCATAAGTGACTGCTTGTTGTACATGGCACAGGAGTTGAAGAAAACTATACTAGAGATTGGAGAAATTGCAGGAAAGCTGGTTATTTGGAGGAACCCTCTTTGATGCAAAAATCCCTCCCTACTCATTTCTCATTTCATTTGAGTGTAACTACTGACCTCAAGGAGAAATGAAAACCAGTGGAAGCGGCTAGAAATAAAAGGGGCAGACTGCAGTGGCCCGTGGCTCATAGGAGTTACTAATCCATTCAGCTGAGACAGAGAGAAAACCAGGGCTGAAGCCAGGGGGCCATCCAGGTTCCAACATTTTGTCCCTATAACTTACTAGCCAGGTGAGTTTGGAAAAATCATCCACCTGTCCAAGCCTCAGTTTTCTCTATCCTAAAATGAGAATAGCTTTGCCTTCCTTACAGGGTACTTTGAGGATCAAATGAAATGATGTGAATTTGCTTTATAAACTCTTGATTGACAAGACTGTTATTTTCATTTCAACAAATTTTTATTGAGAGAATGGCACAGGAGCATAGATGACAGACTCCAAAACCACAAGGCCTAGGATTTAAATTCCAGTTCTGTCACTTCCTAGTTTTATGCCCATGGACATGTTACTGATCTCTCCAAGGCTCAGTTTTCTCATTTGTAAATGGGATAAGAGTGACTATCTGATAGGTGCACCATGAGGAGTAAATGAGTTAATTTTATCTAAAGAAGTATCTGGCATATCATAAATGTTATACATGTTTCATGAATATATTGACTGTGAATATCCCATAAGCCAAGTACTATGCTATATGATGTAGGTGCACCCCCATCTCCCTCTCACCGACCCCCCAACCCTGCCACACACCACACACAGTAACAAGGAATTCTGCCAGACCTTTCACACACCCAGACACAACTTAACCAATGACCCAAGCAAATGGAGATAAATTATAAACTTCTCAGGGCAGAAAATCAGGTGATAACCTCAACAGGGGGTTTATAGCTGGAATTCTCCTGAATTTCAAATTTCAAATTTTCATCCTGTCCTATTGTCACTTAGTTAATTTGTAGTCTCTCTCCATAACTTGCTCTGATTAATTTATGCTTGTGAAATGTTCAAGCAGTTTTTTTAATACCATTTTTAAATGAACTATTATTATGACAGCTGTGGAGAAATTTTACTTTGGTGTTGAAAAATGTTTTATACACACCTTTCAGCTTGCCCACGTTCAGGGATGACATGAAATGCAGGAAGTACAAAAAAATCACTTTATTGGATGAAACTTTTACAAGGTCTCTCACCCATCTTTGTGAGTTTTGTAGCTTTTTTGGTTTTGTTTGTATGTTTATTTTAAGTTGAACATTAAAACAGGAGAAGAACATCTTTTCCCTCTTCCTGTTTACCCGGCATGGAGGAGGTAACCTGATAAAACTTCAGTGAGGCCAAGTAAATTTTGTCACTCTTGGATAATTCATTTTATAATTAATCAAGAGTTTTATTTGAGGATGATTAGTGTCCAGCCATATTCCAATTTTGACATTCTAAAAATATTATCCCATGATTGACTACTCTTTTGAAGTGCACAGAAAAGTTGTTCAACTCGTTACCAAGCTCCAAAAATCCTCTGTTGACACAGAGGGAAACCTCTAATTACATGAGTCACTGCAGTTTTACAACTGAATAAACTGTTAACTAAGTTGGGAAAATTATCATCAAGATGGTAAAGATCATTTGGAACTCAATGCCAAAGCACTCCTGACTTATACTTTTCAGAGAATGACCACCTGTAAAGAGATTGATGTCTGGGAGATTAAAGGTGAAATCTAATATGATTTCCCAGGT